TTATTTCTTTTTTCTAAATTATTAAATTAAATAATTTAAAGAAACCCAATTTTCTTTAGTTCTTAAAGTTACAAGCTAAAAAACATGTTCAAAAAGCTGACCGAGAAGGTCAAGGAATACGGTTACAACTTTAACCATGTCAGGAGACCCGGCTGTTGCTTCAGAAACGTGCAGCAGAAGCAAGTCAATGTGGATTCTGAAAGCACGTTTGATACGCATGACTAGAATTTATAAAGAGGCAAGGCTGCGTTCCTTCCCAACTCCTGGCCTTTTCTGCCTGGGAAGGACAGCCATCCTGTCATCGGTGTCATATCCTGCCATGGGTGTAGCTGACGCGTGGAGAAGCTCCCGCGTGTCCAAAGGCGTCATGAGAGTGCTGGTACCTGCCGCGATGAAAAAATCCTGCTCTGCCCTTACACCACCTTTCTGATGCTGCATGATATTTAGTCCCTTCTGGGATTTCCGATCAGAGTGGGGGGGGTTTGTGGTGAGATGAAAGGCATTTCCACAAGTTTTTGTTGCTCGAGGTGAAATCTTTACATTCCTGGTTGGTTCTACCTGTTCAAAGATTGCCAAATTCAAAACAGCGCGACTGATTCCGCAAGAGAGAGATTTTTATCGGGTACCTACCCCAGAACTTCCTATCTTTGAAAAAGACTCTATAAATAACTTAATTATTTGAGTACTGTTTTTGTGTCTCTGGCATGTTTCCCCAGCACCATCAAGTAAGTCATTGTCCAATTCTCAGCAGACACTTCCTGGAGGTCCTATGAATTTAACTTAATTCTAACAGTAGCTACCTGGAGACTGTTGTCAGCTCCCGCAGGCTGAGAGCTTAATCTCCAGAACCTCCCACCCCCCAACACACACACTCCAGAGATTGGTAGGTGGGGCTGCAAGTTCCAGCCTTCTAATCACATAGTCTTTCGGGTGATCAGCCCCTTTTTGAGGCAATCCAGGAGCTTCCCCCCTCGACTCAAGTCACCTCAGGTGTGCTCTAAAGAAGCGCCTTATGAATAACGCAAGACACTCCTGCCTCTCAGGAAATTCCAAGGATTTTAGAAACTCTGCCAGGATCGCGGGATAAAAATCAAATACATTTTTCATAGTAATCTCTCTTTTTTTTTTTTTTTTTTTATAGCACTGGTTAAGAACTTGGACTCTAGAGCCAGGCTACCCGGGTCCAAATCAGGTACTGCAACTAACTAGGTCTGTTACCTCAGGTCAATTACTGAACCTCCTTTGTCTTGGTTTCCTCATCAAAAATAGAGATAATAACCTCCGTGACCTTCGCCGCAGCAACTTCTCCCTCAACACGTCTCCGGAGGCAAGGGAAACAACAGAAAAAATGAACTACTGGGACCTCATCAAAATAAAAAGGTTCTGCACAGCGAAGGAAACAATCAGCAAAACTAAAAGGCAACTGACGGAAGGGGAGAAGATACTTGCAAATGACATATCAGATAAAGGGTTAGTATCCAAAATCTATAAAGAACTTATCAAACTCAACACCCTAAAAACAAATAATCCAGTGAAGAAATGGACAAAAGATATGAATAGACACTTCTCCAAAGAAGACATCCAAATGGCCAACCGACGCATGGAAGAATGCTCCACATCACTCATCATCAGGAAAATACAAATCAAAACCACAGTGAGATACCACCTCACACCTGTCAGAATGGCTAATATTAGCAACTCAGGCAACAACAGATGTTGGCAGGGATGCGGAGAAAGAGGATCTCTTTTGCACTGCTGGCGGGAATGCAAACTGGTGCAGCCACTCTGGAAAACAGTATGGAGGTTCCTCAAGAAATTAAAAATAGAACTACCCTACGACCCAACAATTGCACGACTAGGTATTTACCCAAGGGATACAGGTATGCTGTTTCGAAGGGACACATGCACCCCAAGTCTACAGCAGCACTATTGACAATAGCCAAAGTACAGAAAGAGCCCAACCGTCCATCGACGGATGAATGGATAAAGAAGATGTGGTATATATACATAATGGATTATTGCTGGGCAATCAAAAAGAATGAAATCTTGCCATTTGCAACTACCTGGATAGAACTAGAGGGTATCATGCTATGCAAAATTAGTCAGAGAAAGATAAACATCATATGACTTCACTCACATGAGGACTTTAAGATACAAAACAGACGAACAAAAGGGAAGGGAAGCAGAAATCACATAAAAACAGAGGTGGGGGGGACAAAACATAAGAGACTCTTAAATATGGAGACCAAACAGAGGGTTGCTGGAGGGGTTGTGGGAGGGGGGATGGGCTAAATGGGTAAGGGCCATTAAGGAATCTACTCCTGAAATCGTTGTTGCAATATATGATAACGAACTGGAATGTAAATTTTAAAAAATAAATAAAAAAATAGAGATAATAACAATGATGAGGTTCATTGATGGCACCTTGGTGTATTAAATATTGTAAACTGAAGAAATTCTTTTTTAATGACAGAAGTAGGAAGGTCGCTTTGACCTCTTTTTGTCCTTCTTTGAAACAAGTGGTAAAACTCCGATGTAAAAGGTGCGTCCATGTACCGAGAGAAAGGAAGATATTGTTATCACCAGAGACACGGATTTGGGACCAAGAAGTCTACACAAACATACTTTGTTAAACTCTCTCTTACCTTCCTGCTTACTTCTTCCCCCATTTACTACCCCTAGTCCAAACCCCTCTGTCTTATCAATTCTTCACAAATGTATTGTTTCTTTGTCTAAAAGGTATGAACACTCTGGTCACTTCTTTGAGTCTTGATTTTCTTGTGAAGGCTCCCATGGACAAGTAAAAACTTAATCAGATGTGTATGCTTTTCTCCTGTTAGTCTGTCTTTGTCAGTTAAATTTTCTGACCCAGCCAGGGACTCTAAGACAGTTGAGGGAAACTTCCTCCCATAAATAGCCTCCACATCATAGCATTGTAGTTAGTTAATATATATAAAGCCTTGGAACAGTTCCTGTACAGTGTGAGAGCTTTGTAAATATTAGCTATTATTATCTACCTAGTGCTTTGAATAAAAGTCTGCATTAAAAACTTCCCTGAAATAGGTGAATACCAACTCCAGTTGTCACTTTGGACAATTGACTGCATTCCACGAATTTACCTGACTTATTTGATGGCATGTATAGTGAACAATGATCACCCCCATGTCTAAATTAACCCTAACAAATGAACAGTTAGCAAAAACTTTAAGACGGTCAACATAGGGGCACTTGGGTAGTTCAGTTGGTTAAGCATCTGACTCTTGGTTTTGGCTCAAGTCATGATCTAACGGTTTTGTGAGTTTGAGCCCCTTGTTGGGCTCTCACTGACAATGCGGAGGCTGCTTGGGATTCTCTCTCTCTCTCTCTCTCTCTCTCTCTGCCCCTCCCCCACTCACACTGTCTCTGTCTCTAAATAAATAAACTTAAAAAACAACATTATCCTTGAAAAAAAAAAAAAAGATGGCCAGTGTAGTGTCCATTTTGTTATATTTTGTGATTGTTTCTACTAAAGTAGGAGACTTGTCTATTGTGGGGTTTTTTTTGCCTTTTTTCCTGCAGTTCTATTTTTTCAAGTTCGGAAGAAGCATGCCACATTGAAATAATAACACGTCTAGGCGTTGTAACGTCTTAACCCACATCAAGGTGTTAGAACTGTTAAAACGTGAACTGAGGCATGTTAAACATTTTAAGAGTTTGAGCAAAAATCGATCTGAATCAGGCAATGCCAAAGAGAAATGGCTAGGAGCCCTCCACCAACAGGTGCCAGGGGAAAGATCTGCATAGAGGAGATTCAGAAGCAAAGCAAGGAAATTACTTGAAATTACTTGATTGGTTGAGAGCTGAACCGTTTGCCTCACTTGGAAAACCCTAGTTTCCAAGTTGGCTGTTTCTGATTAGTTGTTCTTAGGTTTCGATTTCTTAACCCTGAGGGATTTACAGGCTAAGGATTTGGTTTACTTACGTATGCAGGCTACCAAGGCATTAGAGCCACCTCGGTCTAATGGCCTCCTTGTTTAATTAATTTAACACAACAAATGTAGCAGTCAACGATGATGAATTAATAGAGCGGAGCTCAGACCCAGAAACATGCCCCACAGACCGATGGCCTAAACATGCCTCCCCAAAGGGCCTTATTTAAGATACTTTAGCATCCTCCGTGCGGTCGACAAATGCAAGGAGAGTCTCCATAATATCCAAACTGAATCCTTTACCCCTCATTATTACAACTTGAAATGGCGAATTTTCCTTTATTTAGAAATTAGGGCTCCACCTGGTTGGAATTCAACAGTAGGGATTAGCTTTGAGAAACCAGGAATTTTGCTGGTCACGTCCAGAAAACCGAAGAAGTAAATCTTTTTAGTTGGGCTTCTATCCTTTTAAAGATAATACACATATGCTCATGATCGGAAGCATGATTCTTCCACTTTACTGTTGAAAATAGAAAAATTTAAATTGATGGCATTTCTACCCAATTCATGCATCAAAGTTTTATTGAGGACCTATTATGTCTCAGGCAATGTTCTAGGTACCGAAAAACAGCGGTGGAAAAAAGAGTGACGAGAGTCCCTGCCCTCATAGAGCATACATTGTGGAGTGTATACATTGTGGAGGGTGACGAAGCGAAAACTAGTAAGTAAAACCCACAATGGGACGAGAGAACTCTTTAAATAGAGTGGGCAGGGAAGGCCTTACCAGGAAGGCAATGTTTAGCAAAGACCTCAAGGGGATAGGGACTTGCTAGAGGAAGGACATTCCAGGCAAAGGACCCAAGAAACACAGAAGCTCCAATGTAGGGCATGGCTGTGTCTGGGGGACAGCAACAGGACCAGTGTGGCTGGGGCAAAGCGCACAAGATAGGGTGGAAGAGGACATATGTGTATAGACCTAAAGATGAAGGGAGAGAGCATGGGAATCACACAGGAGATTTGGCGACTCTAAGGAATTTGGCTTTTACTCTGGCTAACGGAAGACTTGGGGCTAAGTGACATGATCTCACTTACCTTTTAAAGAGATCAGTACAGCTATTGTGTTCAGAAGAGACTAGAGGGGGCAACCACGGCCAAGTAAGAGACTATTTCGGTAATTCAGTTGAGAGATGACGCCCTTTGATAATGCCGGTATCCGTGGCCGTAGGGAGAAGCGGGTGGATTCTGGACATTTGTGGATGTAGAAGCCACAGGATTTGCAGATGGATGGCACAGGCTGTGGGAGAGCCAGAGAGAAACAGAAAAATGACACTAAGGGTTTTGGCCTGCGCAACTGGGAGGCTGGAGTTGCCAGTTGCTGAGATAGGGAGCACATTGGGCTACACAGGTTCTGGGAGGTGGAATCAGACCTGCGGTGCCTGATTTGCGTGCCAAGTTCGAGATACCTATGGATTAGCTATCTAAGCAGCGGTGTGGAGTAAGCAGTTTGCTTCACGATTCTTCTGGGTCCTGAACATACGCCCTACAGCTAAGTGCTTCTGCGGTACTGACCCATATTTGAATTGCCCCTTGACATAGAACATGTTTATGAACTTCTGTTAGAAGCTTAGAACCTCAACCCTGCTTTCAGAGAACGTAACCTCCTTTCACAGGAAGACTGTAACTTGCGCGCTTACACCGGGTGGAGGGAATCCCAAAATAGAGCTGTCTTCAAGCAGCTGCAACAGGTCACCAAAGGGCACCCGGGGGGGCAGGCCTAACTACAGTTAGGTCTCAAGTAGGCGGCAGTTTTTAGCGTCTCCGCGCTCTTTAGTAACACGGGTGAGTTAGCCGGATTCTCACGCACGCGGGAAAACCATGCGTCGTCCCGTGCCGGCTAAGTGTTTTTGCACGAAACGAGTTTGAGAGGCCTCAGCACCAACACCTGAGTCGCAGTTGACCTCTGGCGGGCATGGCGGTGGCCCCAAGAAAGGGAAGGCAGGAGACGAAAAGGAAGAGGGAAGTGTAGGGATAAGTCTGGAACAACAGGGAAGGGCGGCGGGGAAATTTCAGGAAATACAAAACTCGAGGTAGGGGGTGACAAACCAGAATGCCTGTTGCAGAAAGGCAGGTCATGTCAATGGGTAAAGCCAGCTTGAAGCAATAAACAGGAAGTGGCAGGGCGGGACTGCGGTGACTGGCAGGGACAGGTTTCCTCTGAAAGAGAATGTTGTGGGGTGGGGTGGGGTGGTGCGGGGGTCCTTCGGTGCCATGCAGGACCGGGAGCACCGTGCAGCCAGACTTTGCCTTATTTCCAGAAAAGCCAGAAATCGAGATCTTTTTCTGGAAGCTCCTGATTTTTAAATGTTGGTATTGAATTCACATTTTCGAAAGGCACGGCGTGAACCCACCAAAATATATCCACAAGCTGCCTTCGGTCTTTAGGCCACATGGCAACTTCTAACATGGCCATTTGCATACAAATTGTTTTAATTATGACTAAATTAAGCCAGTAAATTCCAACGTAGTTATAGCAGGTATTTCTTCTACACAGGAGAAACCATTTTTAATATAATATGACCTGAAGCTTCTGTTTCCATATGAAGTCCTAATAGTCAAATACGGAAGAGTGAAAACAACGTAATAATATGTACAACAAACACTTGCCTTTTCAGATTTGTTCAAAAGGCAAGTTACTGATTTTTGGCACTCTTTGTGCACAAATCTTCTCAAATGAAAGTTGTCTACTTATGATCAAGTTGTCTAAGTATGATGTTGAATAAGGCAGAGTCATGTTCCGCTACTTCCAAAATAGGTTGACATTTTACAAGATTCTCCTGGAATTTCTTTTTCAGGGTGTTCGGCTTCAGAAATTATACAGGCTGACGGGAAAGAACTAGTTCTGGCTGGAATGAACAAGTGGAAGGAGAGATTTCCATTATGATTAAGGCTAGTCTTCACAGTTTTTCATAGTAACTCATTTTTCTCCATCATTCCATATAGACATTTTCACTGAAAAGCAAGAATACTGGATGATTGAATAGATTTGGGGGATGCTTGAACTCAAGTCGTTCGGATCCTGTGATAACCTCTAAGCCTAGGAGAGTCTAAGCAGGCTGCTGGCCCCTTGTTCAGGGGCTATGATTTGAGCAGGGGTCTGGGAAGAGTTCCGTCTTCCCGGGAACTTTCCTAAGAGACTCTTGCCTTATAGTGGCTTCATTTCTACTCCTACAAATAGATTTGGTGGCAGGGGGTGAGGGGGTGGGCAGAGAAGGAAAGTTTCCATTTATTTCTTTTTCTTTTTTTCTTTTCTCTCTCTTTTTAACATTTCTTTATTACTGAGAGACAGAGAGACACAGAGCATGAGCAGGGAAGGGGCAGAGAGAGGGGGGAGACACAGAATCCGAAGCAGGCTCCGGGCTCCGAGCTGTCAGCGCAGAGCCCGACGCGGGGCTTGAACTCACAAACCACAAGATCGTGACCTGAGCTGAAGTCAGATGTTTAACCGACTGAGCCACCCAGGCTCCCCTCATTTTTTTTTTTTTTCTAAAATAATCAAGAGAGTGGATATCCCCAGAGTGGGGTAATATCTTAAAACACTTACCAGCTAACACCTTAGGTAGGAGAATGTCTTCTTCCCTCCTACTCCCCTAACAGAGGCAGCGAGCTAGGAAAGCAAGACCATAAGTAATGGCAGAGCTCCAGAAGTCTGGAAGGAGGAGGACGTGGAGGCATGAGGGTATCAGTAAGTTCTGCCTGGTGCTAGCTCCTGTTCCTAGGAGAGCAAGAGTGCAGCTGGAGTCTTCAAATCACTTTTCACCAGCAACAAATCAAAATGTCCTCAGGTTTTTGTTAGGGGATTAAGATAAAATCATCTATTGCTTGAGATGAAAGGGAAAAGCGACTTAGACTTCAGACAGAGGCATGACCATTTCAGTTAATTTCACCTACGCCCCCGTTTTCTACATAATCCCCAATCCTTTCAGGAAAACTTTTCGTGACCAGGGACAAGATGCGTGGAAAGCCCTGGAAACAAGAAAGAGACTGGAAGAGCTGGGCTCAAGGGGAAGCTGACAGACCAACGTATCTTGGTCACTCACCCGTAAACCCAGATCCTACTTTGCGAACTGCGGAGCGATTTGCTGACATAGGTTAGGAGGGGTAAGCCCGAGGTCGGAAGCTGCTGTTGAAAAATGGGTGCTCTTCGCACAAATAAGGAAGTTCTTAGTCTTGCTCTGGGTCCTGGTGCAAGTGTCAGCTAGCCACGTGTCTGCTCAGTGACTTCTTTGGCACTTTGTAAGACCTTGTCACGTGTCAGGATAGTAGTGTTCCCCCCGACTTACTCTTTGCGAACAGTCCCTTTTTTTAAAAAAAAATTTTTTTTTACAACGTTTATTTATTTTTGGGGGGACAGAGAGAGACAGAGCATGAACGGGGGAGGGGCAGAGAGAGAGGGAGACACAGAATCGGAAACAGGCTCCAGGCTCCGAGCCATCAGCCCGGAGCCCGACGCGGGGCTCGAACTCACGGACCGTGAGATCGTGACCTGGTTGAAGTCGGACACTTATCCGACTGCGCCACCCAGGCGCCCCTGCGAACAGTCCCTTTAAGCACCCTTTGCTAACAGTTCGTTCCATATGAGACTCCTTTTACTGAAAAAAAAAAAGGGGGGGGGTGGGAAGAGGTGTCCTCCTTTCCTTTGCCTTCTCGAAGTAAAGAATATTATCTCCTTCTAGAGGGTCATTGAATGCTTTTATTCTGGCCACATTTCATTCAGTCAGTTAATGAGATCTGACTATGCTCACCACATACAACCCCTTGTTGCCCTCATCAAAAAAGTATGTTGATTTTTCATTTCTCAAGGACGAAAAACTCACCAAATACCGAGTCACAGACACTTCGGTTTTTTTCAAAGATCTGAAATAGACAGGAATTTCTTGCTGTTGGATAACCTTTCTCTACCAACTTAGACAACTAGTCAACATTCCCACTTACAAATATGTTGGTACTTGACTGAATCACATCAAGAACGTGGAATCCTGTCCTGGTTCACATACTTCAGAGATCATTTCTTTGCATACATTCCCTGGATCTTGCTTCCTCCTCCCCTCCCCGCCCCAGATGCTGTCTTAATAGCGCAGTAGTTAGAGGAAGCAATTCTGTTCAACACAGATAGGCACATACAGAAAGGCAACATACGGGCTGAGCTGGAAAACAGCACCATGGAAACAGTACAGCAAATGAGGAAGAGACCTTAGATTTTGCTTGGGTTGAGCATGCTGATGTCAGGACTTCTGTGGAGATCTCCCTTCCTTTTCACTCCCCAGCCATTGACGAGAATGCAGAAGTACCACTGTAGAAGGAGAAGACGGGGGCGCCTGGATGGTTCAGTCGATTAAGTGTCCGACTCTTGATCTCGGCTCAGGTCGCGATCTCACAGTCTGTGGGATCGAGCCCCACATCGGGCTCCGTGCTGACAGGGCAGAGCCTGCTTGAGATTCTCTCTCTCCCCCCCTCTCTGCCCATACCCCACTTGTGCTCTCACTCTCTCTCAAAAATAGATAAATAAACATTAAAAAAAGAAGAAGAAGTAGAAGAAGCAGACGATGCCACTGTCGGGTCAGATGGAATTGTGTGGGCATTCTTCATGCCCCAGAGCAGTCTGCAGATCGTTCTGGGTGGGTAAGAGTGAGCTTCGGCACCAGACTTCCCTGAATTCCCATCTGATTACGGCCCATCACTAACAAGTCACCGAACCGTTTGCAGTCTCCGTCTTCTCTAAAATCAGAAAATAACATACCTGCCTCATTTGAGTGAGGTTTCAAGGACCCGGCGCAGGCAAAACAGCACAGAGCTTGACACGTAGCTCAAGGACAAAACTGTCACAAAATTGTTTTCTCTGAAGTCCGCGTTGTAGGAAATGTTTGTCAGGTTCCTCACTCGCCGTGGGTTAGGAAGGAGGAAAGGAGAACAGAACACAAGTATGGTGTGAGAGAGGGAGAGCACACACGGGGCTCTCAGTGGAAAGAGGCGGTGAGCTCACTTAGAAAGGTAAGCCATAACCATGTGTCTCCTGAGAACATCACCTGAGTGAGCATTCTGGTCCTACTCCTGTTTTGTTTTCTCCCCTGCACCCCACGTGCAACCCCGCCTCAAACATTTCCTCCTGGTCCTTATAAAAATGTCTTCTTTTAAATATTTACAAGTGTTTATTTATTTTTGAAAGAGAGAGAGAGAGAGAGAGAGAGAGAGAGTGAGCACAAGAGGGGGAGGGGCAGAGAGACAGGGAGACAGAGAATCCCAAGCAGGCTCCTTGCTGTCAGCACAGAGGCCAGCGCGGGGCTCGAACTCACGAGCCATGAGATCATGACCCAAGCCGAAATCGAGAGTTGGACGCTCAACCGACTGAGCCACCCGGGCTCCCTCCTCACAAAAATTTCTGTAGAGTTCTTCCCACCTCTCTGCCTCTTGCTGTCTCCCCACCCCCAGTTCCTTTCTCCTCTTTCTTACCGGTACCTCCACTATGACTGATCACTCTTCTGCTGTCCTGTGTTCAAGTGTTGCTGTCTGTAGCCTTTCAGCTGCTTTATTTCTGTTGTCCCTTCCCAGTCATGAGAAAACTATTTGTTCCTTTCCCAAAAAGCGATCCTCTTTTTACCAACAACTCCTTCTTAATCTCTTCTTTATGTATTTACATGTAAGTCATTCATTACTTCCTGGGCCATTTTTATTTTTTGTGCCCTTTGGAAATGCCGATCGGGGGCCATTCACCTGCACCTGTGCTAAATGCACACCTTCGCCTACAGGCCTTTAGATTTTTTGTTTTTTGTTTTTTGTTTTTTTTTTTTTTTTTTTGTATTTCAAACCTTCCCTAGAGAACACTGCTGTGTAAACAGTGGACTTGTCCAGCACCATCTGATGGGAAGTAACCAACAAGTACAATGCATTGTCTATAATGAAACTTCAAGTAGCTTTTCTTCAGTCAAAGCTATTTTTGACTACAAAAGTGTTCAAACTATCCAGGACTATTTAACAGTTACTCAGATTCATCCATCACCAAAAGTAATTTCTCTTACTTGTGCAGAGCTAATTGAAAACAAACAAAGAAACAAACAAAACTAAGTTTGGGGCTTAGATTATCCAGGGAGTATTTATACTATCTTCGTGAGCAAGCACACTGTCAACCCCTTTAACCTGAATAAGAGTGTGGCTATTTGTAAAAGCATAATGTAACGAGCCATTGCCCCAGAGATCCGGGGTGGTCTAGATGGAGTGGCCAGCTTGGTAGAGAGGACTCCCTTCTACTGCCAAAGACTCCTTGTCTTTTCCATTTGCTCGAGGCAAAGGGGCCGATTTGCTACAATGGTTAAACAGGAAATCATTCACTTGTGTTTGGACTTCTTGTGAATCCAGTAAAGTTAATTCTTTAAGCTGGGTGTTAGTAAAGACCAGACTCAAATCATTCCTGGAAATGTCAAAACAGGAATTTGCCCCCGAAGTCCTGAGAGATCAAAACTTGTCCGTTTTGTGGTACCTGCTTTTTTTTTTTAAATTTTTTTTAAGGTTTTATTTATTTTTGAGACAGAGAGAGACAGAGCATGAACGGGGGAGGGGCAGAGACAGAGGGAGGCACAGAATCGGAAGCAGGCTCCAGGCTCTGAGCCATCAGCCCAGAGCCCGACGCGGGGCTCGAACTCACGGACCGCGAGATCATGACCCGAGCCGAAGTTGGACGCTCAGCCGACTGAGCCACCCAGGCGCCCCTGTGGTACCTGCTTTTAGGGAATCCCCATCCCTTCATCTCTGAAATTAAGGGAATTTTATAATAATTTGGTTTGGAAAAGAGAAAAAATTGTTAGCAGTCAACAAACCTGGGCTCTGACCCTAATGCCTCCTCTGGCTCCACCTGTGGCTCCGGGGGTGCTACTCTGGGCTTCCCGTCTCACTGTTCCCATCTGTGAAGCACTTTGCCATGAGTGATGGGTTACTGAGAATGACCACAGCTGAAGGACCATATAAACCTCAAAGCCTTCTCTGAAAAGTTTATTTTGTGACATGAAATGTTATTGATGGCGATAATGAGATTGAGGCAATCGTGGTGGTGAGCTGGTAAAATCTCCACTTAGCACTGAAAGCGGTCACCGCACAGATTCTACAGCCAGAGTATCTGCCTTGTCACGTCTTAGCTGTGTGACCTTGGGCAAGTCATTTAACCTCTCGGTGCTTCAGTCTCCTCACCTTTAAAATGGAACTAATAATAGCATCTGCCAGGCAGATGGTTGTGGAAATTATATTAGTTCACACGGGTAAAGTTCTTGGAATACTACCTGGACGTGTGAACGTCTTCTACAACTATTAGCTATTATTTCGAGGCTACTTAGGTAGCTAAGGTGTTGCTAATGGCACCATTATTCTTGGGGAAGTTCCCTTAGCCTTAGACCCAGTGCTGCATTCTTTCCAGCTAACTGAGGTCTTAGAAGCCCTCAGAACTGGAGTCAGTTTAGCATCTTTGGGTTTCTCTGATGAGCAAGAATATACTGAACCAAACTCTTCTGAACTTGCCCTATAACAAACCTACATCTGAGGGGGCCAAAAGTTGTGTCCCCAGACTTGGTCTGCGGAGGCCTGGAGCTAGAAGGTCCAAAGACGCAGGAACGGCTCATGCTTGCACGGTGTAGGAGGCCTTCACGCTGAGGGCTACCTAGCAAACTGGAGCATGGCTGATTCCAGATCCTCTCCTCTCCGTCACCTCTTTATAATACCTCTTTAAAAGCAAGATAATGAAAGGAAGAGGAGAGCGTCTTCAGATTTTTGCATTTTCTTTTAGTGGCAGGTACCCCTTAGTCTGAATGTGTTAAACAGTCTGTACCCAACGTCGGTCAGAAGCCAGTGTATCAGTCCTCACAATAGATGGGACTCCGGCCAACGAAACTGGGCTCTGGAACACACTATTTGCTCCTCATTTATGATAACTCATTCTCCCTGAGTGATCAACAAATCCTGTCTCCAGATTACTGGGCAGGGAGACGTGATGGGGGAATCTTTCTGGATTCCAGGTTTCCCTGACTTGTTACTTCCTAATTATGTCTCACTTTAGCTGATCATTTTTTTTTTTTAACGTTTATTTATTTTTGAGACAGAGAGAGACAGAGCATGAATGGGGGAGGGGCAGAGAGAGAGAGGGAGACACAGAAT